AAAAGGGCAAGAATGGGTTGTCACGAGTTGCAGTTAGGGAGACTGTAGTTGTAGATAAAGAAAACTGGACCATGAGAGTGGTTGCGTTGGAGCAGATTGCGAAGAGGGTTTATGGAATCTCCCATCCTTGTGGATATTTAGAACTTGGCGAGGTCCAAAGCACCATACAGTCCAGCTTTGAAGTGAGCTCTGCTGTGAGGAGGAGGTTGAACTAGGTGACCTTCAGACCTAAGTTTTGGGTTGAGTCTGGGATAGTTCCTGAGAACAGTAAACTCCAACACAAATAAATGGTCTGGATGAGACATGCTTTTACTGACTTGTGTTTCACTGGTGTAGCCTTTGCTGGGAGAGATCAGCGAAACAGATTTCTAGTGTGAACATTACCCTTGTCTCAGGGGAGTTTTTCAGGGAATATATGATAAGCAAGTTGAAAAAGCAAGTGAATGATATATTTGTCATCATTTGATGGTCATCTAGCAGGATTAGTTGGTGATAGATCTGCCTCCGTGCTCAAGGCCATAAACCACTTTTTTTTGTGAATGACAAATAGTAAAAAAAAAAAAAGAGCAGCTGGGAGTACAAGTAAGATTGCATTGGCAAAATGGGCTAACTTTGTCTGAGCTGTCCATTGCAAGAGGCAGTTGAGAAGCACTTTTGGGTCAATGCTTTGACCCCTTTTTCAGAAGCAAAGGTAGAGATGTGGGTAATGCCCTGGGACCATGTGGAGTACAGTGTATTTTGTTCCCACTACATTCCCTGTGCCAGTCCTGGCAGCACCGTGGGTTCTGCTCTGTTACCGAAGGTGAGCAACAAATGCATCTCTCCAGCAGCAATCCAGACTGTGTCTTGGAATCATAGAATCCTTTAGGTTGGAAGAGACCTTTAAGATCATCAAGTCCAACCATTAAGCCATTAGGGCTCTAAAGTCCTCTGCTAAAACAGAAATCTGCCAGGGTTGGAAGGGACCACAAGGATCACCCAGTTGCAACCCCTCTGCCACGAGCAGGGAACGTTACCACTGCTCTTCCTGTGGCCTGGCCACCTCTCCTCTCTGTTTGCCGTCTTTTCTAATTGATCTGAATGAGCAGTCAGTGTCAGTAAACCTGTTGGAAAAACAGTAATATTCCTTTTTCTCTTCTTTTAGCACTTTTTTTAGTGTTAATAAGTGTGATGAAAAGAAGTTAATTACAGGCAACTCTGTCCAGTGTGAAGTTTTGCATCTTCTCCCTCGGTGCCTTGTATGTCCATATCTCTTTCTATAATGACTCATTCAGTGGCTTCTGTTGTTGATCTTTTCATTAATCTCCTTGGTCATCCCTGGCTCGGAAACGTCTGGTGTTCTTCCCCCTAAAATCAGCATATTTCTGGTTACAGAAAGTTCAACGTGTTTTACTCTAACGATCTTTCTGCTCAGATGTGTTCTCTTTTTCTGGTGATACTCCCCTACCTCTTGCCTTCAAAACTGAAAGTCAGTATTGTCTGACTTTAGGTTATCCATTTTCCTGAGACCAGAGTAGAACACAAAATCCTTCCATAAAGTTAGCTGTGTAAAAGCCTGCACAACTACTTCGTTGTATTTCAGACTGTCTTTAGCTCTTCTTGGATTGAGATTGTGAGAATTTTAGCACCAATAGTTAACCAGCTTATTTGTATTCTCTGTTAGTATATTGGGTTGGTTGTTGTTTGTTTTTGTTGTTTTTTCTTAAGAACAGGTTGTTGATAGAAACCTTCTCCATACAGGATAGAAGAGTGGGTAGATGTTGGAGGCTAATTGACATTTGAATTAGTAACTTGCACCTATTTTAGGAATTGACTAAACTAAAAAAGTATCCTTAGATCAGAGGAAAGTTGTGGTCAGCGGACCTGATCTGGAGATACAGAAAACTATTACTTCCAATTACGCTCTTATTATTTTTGGTTTAAATTAAAAGATCTTTCACTGCTGTCTGTATTTCCCCTTTTGTACACTCCTCCCTCCTCCCCACCCCCCTGCCCCTGTGCCTGGCAGTATAGTATGTAGTTACTTTCAGTCTCCTGTGAAAATCATCTGGGTTTGGGTTGACAGGTTAGGTGATCACTGTATTTGCAGTTTTACACGAAGGTTTCAGGGGGCAGCAGCTTGGGTGAGAGAAGGTATTACAAGCTACAGGGATCCATAGCGTCTTACACTTGGCTCAGCTATAGTCAGAAGCTTAACTGACTGCAGGCCCTATGTCCACCTGGGGAAACCAGTAGAGGCTTGGTATTGTACTTCCAGTTCCCAGCCTGTGTGTAATTCATGCCTTTCCTAAGTCATTAGACATTAAAAATTACTTTTTTCTTGTTTTGAATGCATTATATCTTATCTATATTTTAATCTAGAAGGCAGGTTTTCTAGGTCAACAAATGATTTTAAGAATAAGCATTACATTTAATTATGATCTACTTAGTCCTGTACAGTGCAGAGACTGAAGTGTCTGTAGCAACCTCTTATCTTTCGTAGTATCTGTGCCAAGTGTTCTTTCATGTTATAGCAGGTCTTCAGTTTGGAGATAGAAAGAATTAGTAGCTACTATCTACACTAGACTTACAGCTCTTAAGTCTCTGTGGCTTTATGCCAAGCCTTATGCTAAGATAGAGACCTGTGCAGGGATTTGACCTCCTAATTTCCCTCAAACTTCAGTACCAGCTGTGAACATAAATGTTGCTTGTGAAATTCCATTTGTGTTCTCTTAGATCCAGAACTGCCAAAGTGAGAGTGTTATAAATGTGCTCAGCTTGATACAACTCTGATTTATGGTCAGTCTTTGATGTTTGCTTATTTTGAAGGAAGCTGTGCAGTACTGCCTATACACAGCATAGATGTTACATCTGTGAACAGTACAGACTTGGTCTGTTGATCTCACAGATGTTCCTCCCATAAGGGGGGGGAGAATGGTTAAAATATTTTGATCACTGATCTTCCACTGGTTGACTAAAGACAGGGCAGCTCTATTCAAGAGGAAAAAACCTGTAAAGAAAAAGTTCTAATATTTTAAACAGACTATAAAAGTTTTATCTTTTTTTCTCTGCTAGATCCTGAGGTCTGCTTCAATTTGGAGGCTTTTAGCCTTAAGTTCAAGTCCTCTTGACTCTTGTGCAGAGCTGTACAAGACTGCTTCCTCACTAATCCTTTCTTATGTATTGCAAAAGGAAGTTTTACTGCTCACCTCACAGGAATGTGTAGTTGGCATGTCTATAGGGTATCTGTGTTCTGTTCCTTGAGCTGTTGTGAGATGCTGTTGCTGGAGTCCATAGGAGTTCTTGCCTCTTTTGGACATAACAATAGCTATTAGAGAGAGTAATTAAATAAAAAAATATTTTCCTCCCTACTTTGTTTCTTAAAGGAGAGGGAGATTTATTCTGTTCCTCTCCCCCTTCTTACTATACCAGAACAGCTGGTGGATGAACTAAAACACTGGGATTTCTCTTCCTTCGTCCACTCAAGCTCTGCTTTTCGAAAGCTCCAGTGGAATCCCTAGTTCAGCAGCCGTGAGCCAGTTTTGCTTATCATTTGCCATTGTCTAGCTGATAGGATAGAACTGTGAGCTTCCTATTTGTTAACTCATTTCCTTTTAAGCTGTTGTCTTATGGTGCAGATGAAACCACTGCTGCCAGCTGTAATGCTGCCCAGGCAGTAAATGAAACTACTGTATATGCCATGCTCTGAGGATTTGTAATATGTACTTTTTTCCAAGTAAAACTGTAACTGGCAAGTGTTTCAGTAGGCAGCTTACCTCTAGCTGCATGAAATTCCTGTTTACACTAAGAGAATTTCCTTTCCTGGAAAAATCTTTAGAATAAGCAGTATAGGGACAAAGGGAAAAGTCTTTGGACTATTACAACATGCAGTATCGGGTAAGAATGTCTCCATTGGCTGTGAAGCCCTTCACAGGACCTTTCACAACAGTAACACTGGGAGTCCACTGTGAGGACCTGAGCATTATCCAAAGAAACTAAAGGAAATCTGCCAGTATCCACTACAGTTTGTTTTTATTTAGCAACTGTGTGCCTGTGAGGAGAGTAATGTGGATTCATGAGTTTGTTGTCTTCCAGTAAACTCCTGTCTTTGGGATTGGGAATAAGATTGATTTGTATTCTTGCCTGAAGAGTCTTTGCCCCATGGATAGATTTTGTCAAATACCTAGTGCAGCTTTCTTGTGTACTGTTTGTGGTTCTCTGAGCTGTGTAATAGTGGTTCCATCTTCACTCATGCAGTTCTTACTTGTTACAAAAGCACAGAATTAAACAAGCAAAGTTGTTTTTCTTTTAAAGACACTGCTTGCTTCTGACCGATTTTGTTCTTTTAAAGAGGGGAAAAAAAAAAAAATCTATAAAGACCACAAAAACTGCATGAAGAGCTTATCTAAATACTAAATGTAAATATTCAAACTAGTCTTTTAAGCTGGTCTATTCCAAGTAATTACGGTCTCTTGAATTGATGTGGTTATAGAGTAATGGAGGTGATTATTCAAAAAAGAATTTAGACATAGCTGTAGGATGTTTTATATGAATGAAGATATTTAAAGCACCTTACCACTGAGATATTTTAAGGTGATAAAGAAAATCACACCTCCAGCAGTAGAAAATGTTTACTTTTATACAAACTAGATGGCTTGTGATAGACCAGATGAAGTCACTGCACAACAGTTGTAAAGAGAATCCAGTGCCCTGTCACAGTGACGGTAAGGGAATAAATATCCTTACCATACAAGTTCTTATGGTATGAAAGGCTTTGAATTTTTCTCAGGATGGGACGGAGAAGTGGTGCTGTGGAGAGGAGTTCAAAGGTCTAATTTAGCTGAAATGAGGAATGCAGTCATTTCTTGATTTCAGTATTGAAGAATATGTGAAAAAAAAATTATAGTTACTATTTTTACGTTTGCAACGTTTTTGTCATAGTTTAGAAAGAATATATGTTTTGTTAAATGACATGACTAAGTAGAGCCCAGGAAGCTAATGTAAGACTGTGTCTGTAACAGGTACTTCAAGTGACTTCAAGTATGGACTGCTCCCGGGTACTTCAAGTGACTTCAAGTATGGACTGCTCCCGGGTACTTCAAGTGATTTCAAGTATGGACTGCTTCCGGGTAGTTCAAGTGACTTCAAGTATGGACTGCTGCCAGAATCTTGGCCAAAAGAAGCTTGGGAAAACGGCAAGTATATCTTGTGGAGAGGAGATCGGGTTTTGCCTCTGATGGGGGTTCTTTATCTTCTGTGTCACTGCTGGGAATATTTGATTAATTTGTTTAGAGATTTATAAGATTAAGTGTTTACATAATCTTCTTCCGTATGATTTTCCTTTCTGGATAATGCAAATAGGAGTGCTTCCTTGGAGGGAGAAAGAGGAATTCAGATGTATGGAAAAGTAAAGACGGAACATGATTTGTATCAGCTTTCGTATTGTGCCTGAATGTGAAGACACCTGAGATCTTCAATGATTTAATAGCTTCTTCCCCCCACTCCACCCCTTAGTAAGCTAACTACAGATAAATAGTTGAACACTTGGATAATGAACTGTTTAATACAAAGTTAAATATAATTTTTCAAGCAGTGATAATTATACTCCAAGATATATTAAAAACAAAAACTTAATTGCAGTAAAATTTTTGCATTCGGTGCAGCTGCAGCTAAAGCCCTCTTCAGTTAAACCTGTGTTACTTAACCCACCATTTCACATTTTACATGCCTCTCATAATAGTTCAAGTAAGCAATTATGTGTAATTATTTTTCTGCCTGAAAACATACAAAAAACCCCTATCACATCTAAAATAATTATTGCTAGATCCTTAAAGTACATAAATTCAGTAAAAAGAGGATCTTAAGATGCAATGCCTACCTCTTCTCTGTAACTTTGAGCTATTACAGAGATGTGGTTTATGGTTTACCTAAAATATTGTAGTTTTTACAGTGTGTCCTGGTTTGGGGAAGGACGCACTGGTGGAAGGAATTGGGTCATCAGAAGGTAAAATTCACTAGCAGACAAGGGATTAGACTCAAGTCTTGGGAGGTCTGCCTGTCCTAAAAGTATTAACTTCCCGTATACTTAGAGCCCTCGTGTCTGCCTGTCTGTCATACGCTTGTTAAAGTGTGTAAGGCTGCCATTGGAAACCTTTTATTGAGTTTATTTTTTCTTCATGTAAGCCAATAAGTGTCATTGTGTTGACTTACAGCTTGCATGAGTACTCTGATACACCAAGGCGAACTTGAATATCAGCAAAATTTAACTTCTGTGTTGTGGTGGATTTTGAAGCTGGGAGGAGAAGTCTTAGATACAGCCATGCAGGCCCATGAATGTAACACAATTACTTTTGCTTTCTTCCTGCCAGCAAGAATATGAGAAACTCTTATGCATATAATCACGTAGCCTTAGCCAGTGCTTTTGGGATGCTTCTAGATAGTTGTGATCACGTAAATTCTCACCTGCAGTAAGTTGCCCCCATACCCTATTCTCAAAACAGTCCTTGTGTTCCTATGTGGCATTCTTCCTTGCTGTCACGCTGCCCTCTGCCTTGCAGTCACAGGCAGCTGTGGTGAATCTGTTCTGCCTTCATACTTCAGGCAAGCTGTGTTACCTGCCGTCCGAGGATATGGAAATAGCACTCCTCCATCATAAGGAAGAAGTGGGATATTGCCACTTTCAGAATCTTTTTTTTATGCTGTCTTTATTCTTTCCTGATGTGAGATCAAAATAGACTTTGGGTACAGAATAGCTAAGATCCAAACTACTTAGCTATTTCAGAATTATATTGCCTCTTAATGTCCTATTTTTTTGTCAATATTTCTTCTTGCTTAATTATACTTTTTTTTTTTATTTGTAGAGTCAGATCTTGGTGGGAAGTTTCTGCACATAATTCTACCTAGAGTATTGGTAAAGAAGGTTGTAACTAAGTGCTGCAGAGCTAGGTTTTCTAATTGAGAATTAATTCTAATTAATTCCCTAATTGAGAATTGTTTTCTGGTATAGGTGACCTCTAGAAAATGGAATACTGCCAACTTGTAGCTACCTTACTCTGATTCATGAGCTAAGACTTCTTTTCAAAGAATGAATCTGTACTTACATAGCAGAAATTCCTTGCTTACAAGTGGGTCTTTTTCTAGCAAGATCATACATGCAGAACCTACCAGTATTTGTGGTTTCTGCAGGCAGGCATTGTCCTGATTTGGCTGATGAAGTGTCATGGGGGTGCTTTGTTGTTTTGTGCATCAGGCAGAACATACTGGAACAGGTTTTTTTTGTTTGATCATCTTTTCTCATGATGGCTTATCTTGTAGGTGATTCCTCTGCTTTAATCATGAACAAGTTGAAGTGTCCACACTGTAATTATGTAGCCAAATACAGAAGAACACTAAAGAGACACTTGCTCATTCACACAGGCGTGAGATCTTTCAGTTGTGACATCTGTGGGAAGCTGTTTACTCGAAGAGAGCATGTAAAGAGACATTCCTTGGTAGGTAACCTCAAGAGTGTGTATGTTTGTGTCTAGGTACACATATGTACCAGTGGGGTTTTATGGTTTTTCTTCAGATGTTTTGGTAGCTGGGAGAAACATTGTTCTCTGATTTGCCATAATGTAAATTGTTTTTTCTTAGTCTAAAACGGATGAAGATAAACAACTCTTTGTCATAATTATACCTCTTATATTCCTCATGGAAAACACAATATCAGTTAAGACAATTGCTGGAATTCTGATAGATAATTTCAAGATGATTTTGAAAGTGGTGTGATAGAGATGCAGTATATGTAAGTATTCTGCAGATAACGAAGGGAAGTTTTGGCTTGGTGTTACTGGAATGGAGTAGCACGTCTTGTTCTGTGATGCTGCATCACCATGTTCGGTGAGGACTCCGTTAATCAGCGTTGCACAAATTCTTGGGGTAGTGCTCCAATACTTATTTTACAACTGGAGAAAGCTATAGTACACTATATGCTTTAAGACTTAGGGAGGGATGAAAAATATCTGACATGCAGAAAGTAAACATCCTTCTGACTTGCATTCTGCTAATACCATAATCAACAGCTGAGCTTACCCTGTCCTCTGCATGTTGCATAACTCAGCATTTGACTTGAGTGCTGTTTATCTGAGGATCCAGAGAAAGTATTACCAGTCTTGGGTATTTTGCATGTACTTTGTACCTAGTTTGTAAGGAGATTCCAATTTCATTATGAATTTACTGTGTAGAATCCAAGGCATGTTTCAAGGGAGTAATAAAAGCAAGACCATATTGGTGATGAAAAGGTAATAAAATTTCTCTAAGCTGTGATTTTTAAAAACCTCATTTTGCAGACACTCACAATAGGTTAGTACATGGGATGGGGTAAATTACACTTCATTTGTCCATTTTGGTAGCTTTTCTCAGTCCTTTCAGAGTGAATGGACCACCTTGCTCCTTCATGACGGTGTTCCGTAAGTCTCCATAGCCTCCTTGCACTTGGCTTTTTGTTTCTCAGTGAGCAGAAAAAGTGGTTGTGAGCTTCCAAGTTTTAATACAGATGCAGTAAAGAGCTTCTGCTGTATGTCCTCCTAATTTTCCTTTCTAGCTTCTGGTATCCTGAGATGGACTTCCTGTTAGCCAGTAGTATTATTAAAAATAAATGATAACCTGAGTCATATCAGGTTCTAATTCTAAAAGATATTTATAAGACAACTGCAGTAATTTTAAGTATTCATTAAACTGCTGTGACAGGTGGGAAAGTCTTTGCTGATAGCTCCTGTGTAAATTTTGGAACCAGCATCTTTCTTATGTTACGGACTTCTCTCATCTTAGATACACAAGTTCCCACCCTGCCGCTGCTGCCTTTCTTCCCTCTCCCATACCACCTGGTGAAGGCTTAGATGCCTGAAGGGACAGGAGTACCTGTGGTAACAAATCTGAAGGATGTTTTGTCCTGAAGTGTATGTAGGTGACTGCAGTGATAGATAGAGATGATGGTATGGGGCAGATCTGTGGCTGGGCAGAGGAGGCTGATTATCACCTTCTTGATGGTGATCCAGTGTAACACATCCTAGCAGCTGCACTGCGTTTTCCTTTGTGGCTCACCAGAGAAGACAGCAACACCAGGTGGTATTTGGGCTACCGAGAAGAGTGGAGTGGGACGTCAGACCTCTGCCCTAGAGTATCTGACCAGGTCTTGCACCTGAAGACTTTCTTCCCTCCAGGAAAGCACATGAAGTCAGATTGGGTGAAAATAGCTGGAGTTGAGCTCCTGTGCTTTAACTGAAGTGTGCTCTCTCTTACAGAAAGGAACACTTTTTAAATCCTCTCTCCGTTCAACAAAAGCCTCAAACATTTTGCTTTGTGCCAAATAAGCATAGAGGCTGAGGAAAAAAACACTAGTATCAGCTGTGCAGATTATACAGTGCCACTAAAGTAACTATTTGTATCTTGACCTTGGGTCTTTTCCCCTCATCTGGGTGGTAATTTCTGTTTTAACCTAAAATGGAAACTTTTTTCCAAGTGACCTCAAATGAGATATTTAAGCACATGGTTGTAATCTGTTGTGGGGCCATCAGACAGAAGAAAGAAGTCTTCAACTTAATTTTTTTTTTTTGAGATGATAACTGAATTCAGCAACCATGTATAATAGTTACTGGTACAGGTAACATATTTCCAAATTCCAAATTAAATTTTGTGTTTAGTCCAGTTAGTCAGCAGCAGCCTTCTGATTTTGCACACAAGCTCAGCCTACACACGGGGCGAAGAATTTACCAAAGGGACCCAGAAAGACATTGTTTGGTTTAGTTGTGGTGGGATGGATGTGCTGTGGAGGAAGGAACTTGCTCTTTGAATTCACACAGGATTTAATAACTCCTGCTGCTGCTTAATGTTTCCAGGACTTAAAATTGTAAAGGCCGTTTTCTAAATGAGATACGATCCTGTGTGCAAGATGAGTGCTTATACTGTTCTCATTGCCTTTGAGCCTTGTTCTGTACAGTGAACAGTCACAAAATGACCACCCACCTGCTGACGGGACAGGCCGCTCTGCAGGTGCCTGCTGAGCAGGAGGCAGCTTGGTTGTGGGCAGCAGCTCAGGAGCTCCAAATGGATCTCTGGTAGCAGTTCTCTATCCGAACAGTGTTGGGTACCTTTCAGAAGAGTCCAAAGAATTACTTTGTGCATTAGTTGTTAGGAATAGTTTTCTAGTGCTATAGGCAAATGCAATCTGATATGCATGTTTTCAGCTGTTCATTTTTTTTTCCATAGGTGCATAAAAAGGATAAAAAGTATAAATGTATGGTGTGTAAGAAGATTTTCATGCTGGCGGCCAGCGTTGGAATAAGACACGGATCGCGACGTTACGGAGTTTGTGTAGACTGTGCAGATAAATCTCAGCCTGGAGGGCAGGAGGGAGCAGACCAGGTGCAGGACACAGATTTCCCTAGGGATGAAGAATATGAGGAAAATGAAGTAGGAGAAGGTGATGAGGAGCTTGGTGACGATGTGGAAGAACAGAATGACCAGTCTCGGTGGGATGAATCCGGGGAAGTCTGTATGCCCTTGGAGGACTGACAGCGTGTGACTTGGGGGTGCTGCCGGCGGGCACGCTGCGGGTTGGCTGTGGGAGCTTCTGGACTGAAGGCTTGCGAGACGTGGTACAGGCTGGATGGTAGTTACGTTGCTGTGAAAAATGTAGGGTCAAAGCCTTATAGCAAAAAAGGATTATTAATTTTTTTATTATATTTGCACAGGACTGTACAGCATACAACCATTTGGTTGAATTATACAGAGTCCTCACATCTACAGTCAGTTATCAAAAGAAAAATGTATTTTTTATTATTTATAGGATATAGCTACTTGGGTCCTGTTCAGACATAGTAGTACCTGTACTTATGTTACACATTCATGTGTCTGTTGACATGAATGAAGAAAATTGCAACTTGGTATGGAAATACAAAGACAGCTTTCCCAAATCCACTCGTAGTTTGGCAGTGAAGCAGCGAAGCTAATTTGGGCTGGTGGCTCTTGCTCCCACAAGTATGTCTTTGCCATACGAACCTTACCTCCCGTACTCTGACAGGTGAAAGCCAATCATTTAAATGTGCATCACAGATAATGCCAACACCGTATTGAAATTAGGTTTTAAAAATTTTTGGCTCTGTTCTGGCAGGTGGTATAAGTGATAAGCACTGGAGAAGTTAATAATAGCATTAATTTAGTGTCAGTTTTGAATTTTAAGAAGGTTGTTATGGGTTCATCAGTTCCAAAATGATCTTGCTGAAGAAATGACCAATAATGAAAATAATAGACTGATCAGAGCATGGGTAACTCTGCTGCCACTTAGTCAAAAGAGATAGTCATGCTAAAAGGTATCTGATGTAATAATGTGTCCTTCCTCCTCTAAGGCCCCCTCCTCTCAAACTTTTTGACTTCCCTGGTATATACCTCAGTCCCACAGAATGAAAATACAAGAAATGGAGAAAGTGTCATATTAAACAACTTATTGGTTGATAATTTCTTACTTGTCTGGTTTTTGGCTAGTTTAATGTGATGTGAATTGGACACTAGGCTATTTTGCCCGTCACTCGTCATGAAAATGAACACAAACTATTTTTTATTCTTTTGTACTTAATGGGTTGTTGCTAGTGTTTAATATAAACCGATTACATTTAACTTGTTGAATTAATTTGCTGGATTTTTTTTTTTTTTAAGAAAAGCAGAAAGTCCAAAGCTAAGTAATGCTCCTTGAGTTGTTTACGTTTTGGGATGATACTCCCTATACTCTTTATTTCAAATTTTCTAGGAGGCATTGAAACTTGAATTTTTGTAGCCATGTGTTTTTTTTTTTTCCCTAAGCTCATAATATTGTACCAATGATTTCAGGCTTCTTCCGTAGGGAGGGGAGGGCATTGCACCTTCATCTTGAGCTCCTCTGTGTTGTCTAGCCTAAGGCAAATTGGGCAATCATTGGCACAATACACCTGATGTACTATTATGTCACAACAAGTAATTTTGCAGAGCATTTATCATGACACATAGCTAGGCCAGTGTGACAGTACTGTATAAAAAAACAATTGAGGGTCACCATATTTTTCAGCTTTGTTTAACTATAAAATGAGTATATTTTTTCCTGTTTTATATCAGGTAACTAAATTATGCTAGTTGTGTGGATAACTTTGAACAATGCTTTGATGGACAGAATATTAATGGTGCTCCATCTGATCAAAGTTGGTTTGTATTTAAAGAGACAAGCTTTACTGTTGTCCTGTACATCAGTAGCACAGTAACATGATGTTAAGACATTGTTTTTGCTGATTGAAACTGAGATAAGTTTAACAACAGTTACATGGGAATTAAAATGGTTTTTTTATCATCCACTTGTTTCATTGGTAGTTTCCACATCATTGTAAACCTGACAGATTATTAGTTTTTTGGGGGAGGGCAGGGAGGGTGGGGTGCCTTTTTTTTTTTTTTTTTTTTTTACACTGAAGAATACATCTTATTCTCATTGTTCTAGACTGAAATGAGTAATGTGTAATTCTGGTGGGGTCCAAAGTAGAAATTAGTTGGGCAAAGATGATATGAATGAAAAAGTATTTTAAACGTTAATGTTCTGCTTTGTGAATATGTAAGTATAGCATAAAGATTTTTTCATCCCATTTATCCCCTTTAAAACCATAGTTTACAATTGGTAGATCTGTCTATATATATAAATATATATATATATATGAAATTCACCTAAATCTGCTTTACTAGAATACTGCTCACTTAATGCTTAGAAACTGGACCTGGCTCTACATTCTCAATGTATTTTCCTTTTTTTTTTTTTGTTTTGTTTTGTTTTTTTCCCCTCAAGGTATGACTTTATTCTCTTGGAACTGAATCTTCTTTTAGTACTTAAATCATTTATGTATATCTGGTAACTTATGACCAAATTTGTTGTTAGACTGCATACAGTAAATTGAAATATACACTTGGTACACTACAGAATTGTTGTGCTTTTGTTCTGGTTATGTTTGGAAAAGAAGGCTTTAATAGAAATTAGTGTTATTTATAAATACTCGGTTATTATTCACTGGCCTTAATGTTCTGTTGCATTGTGACAATCATCGTTTCCTTGGTGATACTTAACTGCTTGCTTTAGAGGTTGCATGTGGTGGCCCTCAGTGGGGTCGGAGGGAGAGGGGTGGCTGCTGAGGCGTGGAACTAGCTCTTTAACAAACGGGGTGAAATCGTTCAGTGAAGAGCCACTGTTCCTCTGTTGGAGAACCAAAAGAATTTGTTCGAATGCTGTCTGCAGTCTGAATTTTTGAGCTCTTATTCAAAAGTGATTTTGCATGTATTACTTTGATTAGGGACCTCTAAATTCATGGAAGTACATTTCCTAAGAATTACTTTAAAAGGGACAGCTCAAGTGTCTTTACTAATATAAGAAGTAGGAGGATAGTGTGGTAGCACTAGAAATGATTTTCCCCTTAAGGAAATGCTGGAGCTATGCTGTAGTAATATAGCAGTGAAATTTAGTTTGTCTGATGTGGGGTTTTATTTTTGGTTTTGTTTGGTGGGTTTTTTTTCCTTTTAAAAGAAGAAAGACTAATGCTTTTAAATAGTCTTCCTTATCAAATTTAAAGATAACCAGTCTTTCATTTTGTTATGAAATACTTCTAAAACCAAATGTCTGAGATTTGTTTGTTTGGGGCAATGTCAAACAAGTATTTTATGAAAAGAATCATGTACGTTATAAAAAAACAAACACAGAGTTCTGATATTGGGGTTTCCCCCCTTCTGTGGGTTTTTGTTTTCCTTCTGGTCTCTTCAGACAGTGGTGGTTATCTGTTAGAAATAAACATACAGCACATTTTCTGGCACGGAGCAAAGTGAAAATGCAGGACAAGATGAATTCAATAAGTATAATTAATTTGGATTAGAAGTCGCTGTCAAAGTCAGTGTGATTGTAGGGGAGGCAGACAACATAAAATGGCTTTGGCTTACACCAGCATTACTGCAATACAATAGCAGGTGTTTGCCAGCTGGGATGTCAGGTGCATCTTGCAGGAAAAACAGCTTTTTTTTTTTTTTGTTCAATTGTATAGAAAATTTTTGAAGGTCAGTTTGCAAACATATCTTCTAGTAAAATGGTTTTCTGAAATGAAACCAATTTTGCAAGCCATAAATTATGCTTGATTGCCAACGCAGTGATGCACCCTGAGAAGTAAAAGTAGAAACTAGTGGCCCTGTAGTATACGCTGTTCCTTTTTGAGACACGTACTTCTGCAAGTGTAGTTTTCAGGTGTTACTGCGTGCCCCTCTTCCTTCTGGAGAGAGTAAGTGTTAGCGGGTGAAGAAAAGTTTGGGACCAGGCTACAGTGGCATGTGGTAGGCTCCTTGTTGTGGGTCACAGCAGTAATGCTGTTAGCTGAAGATACTTTCTTTTCCTAGCTTTAAGTTGATAAGGCTTCTAATAGGATTTTCTTTAATGAGGCCAATCTCTGTGGTTTGCTTGCTTTGTGTTTTATTTCACTTGACTTTTCCTGTTGTTGCCACTCAGTAAAGCAAGTCTCCCACCTATTCTAAAATATTTCTGTAGTCTGCTGACTCCACACAGAGGCAGAACTTGCGTTGTAAGAAATGCACCTTATTGCCTGTTCCTTTGTACTTTGTTATTTAAATGGTTTTGGACACTAAGAAGAGAAGTGAAACCAAGATAACTGACACTACAAGCAGCCCCCAAAAAATTGTGCCAAAAGAAAGTGGGAAAAGGAGAAAAACGTTGAATGCAATGTGATAAGAAAAAGGCTTTTGGATTTGAGTTGTTACAGTTCCTCTGGTTTGCTGCTTGAATGTTTTGGACAATTTGTTGTAGTCCTCTCCAGCACAATTTGGTGACGACGTTCTGGTAAAGAAGCTATGCAAGAGGCCCACTTCTGAATTTATGCAGTGTCTCCAGAACAGGGCTCAGGCTCTGCAGAGGTAGTAACACTGAGGAGTGTTCTGTACATATGTTACCCTACCCTTCTGTTAGCATCCCTCTTCACTATGTAACCTGTTACCCTTTTTTTTTATTTTATAAATGTTTGCTCCTTAGAACTGATATTTGCCTTTTATATGTTTTAATAGCACATTACTGTGTTTCACTAAACAGTAGTTCAAAGGTTAAATATTGACACAACGGATAAAAAGAAATTGTTGGTTTTCTTATAGTATCCTTCAGCAAACCTGTAATACAATAAGTCTTTTGTAATAAAAAAAACACAGGTTTGAAATCCAGGGACAGGCATTGCTGAGCTGAACTCTTTGAGATTTTGAAGATCCCATATTCAATTCGCTATGAGTTTTTAAAATGCTTTTATGTGAAAAAAGGTAAAAATACACTAGAAGGATCCTATGACTTGAACTGGAAAATAAAATCAGATTAAGACGTACTTTGTGTTTAACATTATTGCAATTTAAAGTCAATGTTTTAAATAAGCTATACATAATGTTTTGCTTACCTGAATTGATTTGGATTAGTCACTTCAGAATACAGACATAAGTAGTTTCTCACTAACATACTGGTATGTAAACATAATTTCAAGACATCAAATACTATGTGCACCAGTCTTTAAGTTACCATGCTGCAAATAAATTTAAAAAAAAATTTAAAATTCATTCTATGTATTTTTATCTGTGCCCTGCCTCCTCACCTTCCACAAATAGTCGCAGAGAGATTTCTTTGGATGGACAAGTGTTAAGACACAATCATTTGCTGTGAATGACTCAATTTCTGCTTCTAACATAGAATAGAGTTTATAAAAAATAGAATTTGTTTCAAGGGGTACTTTAAACACAGTGCATATTAGAAGGATTGGATCCCCTCACAAATACAGTTGTATTGTGTGCACCGAAAGCCTTTGCCTTGGTGTTTTGTAAAGCCCTCTCAGGCCTCACCAACCTGAGGTGTTTGGGAAAAGTCCTTTCACCTGCGTTTCCAAAAAGCTTTATGAATAATGCTGGATATGGGTTTGAACTGATTCTTTGGCTTCTGCTGTCTTCCTAAATGAGTGTTATCTCTGGTAAGTTATGCATCAGTGGGTTTCTTCAGTTAAAAAAAAAACAAATCTATTAACCCTTTGTCAGTTCATTCAAGGATTTGAAAACTTAAAAGTTTTCCTGTTTTCCCTGTAGAGAAGATTTTTGGTTCTGTGTGCTGGATGG